GGGTCATTAAGTCTTTTAGCAGTCTGTTTGCCATTCCTTTTCCGCAGCTGAGAAAAGCATAACTTGCCAGTACAGCTCCTGAATACTTCTGTTAACCTCAGCTATCAGACTGAAGTTTACAGAAGGGATCTGAGCTGCTGTAGTATAAACATCAATAGCTCTAGTGCTATGGCAGGGTTTGGAAAATTAATTTAAAAAGAACCCTCCCACCCAGAAGGTTATATGATACAAGAGGGTCCTTACATGGGTAGAGGGATAAGGGATAGAACATAAGCCACCCTCTGTTGGATATCCATTGAGATCTTCATGTCAAAACTAAGGCTACATTTTGCATATTGTTTTGTTTCAAGGTCTTATTTATGGCTTTTCCCATATGTGTGTGTGGCTGAGTTTGTTGTTCAGATTCACAGGTGTGTTTATCATCACAAAATCCATTTCTTTAGCCTTGACAATTATAGTCTTTCCTGCTTATACTTGGAAGTATCTCAGAGATCATTTTTGTGTCCTGTTCCTTTATCCACGAAACTAAACCCTTTCTGCTGTGGTTTTCCTGTATATCCTTTATATCCGTTTCGCGTTAGTGTTCCTTGTCTTAGCCTTTGGTTTTGAGCTTTCAGGGAAACAATCCATCTATTCGGACTGCATAGTACCAAGAAGCAGAAACTTCTCAGAAGGGCTCCCAATTTGTGAATTGTAGCAAAACAACAACTTCAAATTCTCCTTGAAGAAACAGATTACAAAATATTTTAATGCCTCCATATTAATACAGACACTGATGGCATATCATAACACTAATAATAGTATTGGGTGTTTACAGCTCATATCATTGACAGACGGAGGCAATATTCCTGAGCAACATAAAAGTTCAAATAGTTCTTTATGCATGCCTGCTAAATACTGTTAACGAAAAACAAGTTGCAAAAAGGCCTTGTTACCCTTCAGCTATAGCAGCCTGCACAAACTGGAAGACATTCTCCTATTTGTGAGATGTCTACCTACTTTTCCTCTCCCTTTCAATATTTATTTCATCTTTTTTTGCTCTTTTAGACCATCTTCTAGCTAAGGAAACTACTAGAGTATTTGTGTCTTTTAGTTTTACCCCACGCAGGTCTGACCTGTTTTACCTTGTTACGGTGATGGAGGGTTTCCACATGGCTGAACTTCAGCTTCCAAGAGTTCTGGATTAGAAACAATGTGGAATCCTCCTACTCATACTCTTTATACACATAGGTGTAAATCAGAGTGTTAGATTGCAATCAGTGCAGCCATTTGACAGTTCTAGTCAGTTTATTTTTTATTTAGTGTTTAAAATTAAAATTATCTATTCTATATCTCTATGATGAAAGGTGTCATCTGGCAAAATAGTCACAGGCTTGTAGACAGATGAATCCTTAGTTTGCATCTTCCCTTTCGACATTCCCTGTCTCAGAAAAATATTCTTAAGCTAAGGAGGACGTATTCATTTTGTGGTGGTATTTTTTTCTTTTTTTTTCCTTTTTTTTTTTTTTCCCAAGTAGCTGTAATTACTGAATATTGGCCAATATACTCACTTAATCTTTTCAACGTGTTAACTGTTGCTTTATCTATCCTCACAGATAGAAGCTGATTTTGCACTACTTGAATTTTGTAAATTGATGCTGCCAGGAACTGCTTTGCAAGTGCTATTGAACTTTCACTGGATGAGATAACTTAGATCTTTGTTAATTCCATAGAATAATTAAGATTCCCTGTAAGTGGAAATGTTGGACAGGTATATGATGCTTAGAAGTACAAAAGCTGTTCAAGAATCATTATCATATCAATGCAGTACATTGATATAATTGTAAAATAGAAATATGCCAGGTAACAGAGCAGTTATAAAACAGTTTGAGCTGCTTCAGCAAGATGCATGCTGACCTCAGACTATAGAAAATAATCTCCTGTTACTTACATGACATTTTCTTTCAGAGCACATGTTTCACTCTGTGACCCACTTTTCCTGCTTTATTAATTCAAAAAATACAATATAGTATGTGAAACAGAGCCAGTTTTGATGAATGTCACAGGCCTCTTGCTTAGGTTACCAGGGAAATTTTCACTTTGGTGAGCACGTGTTCTGAAAACATTTTATGTTTCCACTTTATAATTGCATCCATTTGCTTTGTTTCTAACTGCTAAATACACTCCACTGAAATCCAGCCTTATTTTATCTATCCTTGCCTAGCCTTTAACCACCTGAAACTTGTCTGTCCCATGCAGTCATACAACCTGACTATCTGGACACGCAGGTGCATAGATTTATTAGGATTCTCCTTCTTCCCTGGGCAGTCATTTCAACACTGCCCATAGATGCTCACAAGTGGGAATGGGTGCCTGTCTCCTGTCTACCAATCTACTGAGAATCAAGGTACCTAATGTCTTCCTCGGTCTCTAGAGCTGTCTGAAAAGTCATTGTATGGTCATGTCTGATGCTAGCTTTCTTTGAAACAGTAGATGGTTGTCGATGCTATTTGGTCTTTGTATAGTACTTCAGTTGTTTATGATAGCGGAGACAGAATTGGACTTCCAGACATGCTTTCTGTTGGATCTGGATGATCAATTTATACTTAAACTTATAAATCAGAGTAGATGAATACTGGTAATCTTCCCCCTTACCTCTTCTTTCTTTCAATTTCCACCAATAAAAAGGGTTTAATATTATTCTGTTTTCTTTATCTCTTCACAGTTTACACATTTTTGTGACATTACATTTTTTAATTACAGGACATAAAATTTTAAGTAGAGCTATAATGCAAATATTAAATGATGACAATGGCATACTACTATTCATTTTTTAGTTTTCAGATTCAAAGGAAACTCCTATAAGCATACTACTACTTATGGAACTTGTATGAGAGCAAAAGATATATTACTGTGAAAATATAGATATATATATAAGTTTTTTCCCCAGAAGTAGGACATGTAGTAACTTGATTTTTATGGTATGCTTAGTTGTCATAGGCTGCTTTGAAAACAGGTTAGATACACTCTATATGCTCTGGCTTTAGCCTATGTAATCTTAGCACAGGCTAATGTATATGATGCAGTACATACTGTAAATCAGTGCAAAACACTGTGGAGAAGATAAATCTCTGTTATAGAAGTTCTTACTGTATTCATATGATTACAAAATTTGCATTCAAAAGAGAATATTCTCATTAAAACAGAAAGGTAAAATATGGTACTGGTAAGCAATGATTTTGTGTGTATGTTTAAATGTGTGAATAGGGGAGACTAAGAAAAACAGGCAGATATAAGGTAAGGTCAAAGTACTCAAAATTATTGTGAGATTTTAAATACTTTAAAATGAAATAGCATTCACATCTGGGATTCAGTCCTGAAATTTTGTTTCAATGAAGTTAAAATCTCCCAGTGTGCTCTTGCGGCCAGGAAGGCCAATGGAATCCTGGGCTGCATAGGGAAGAGCATGGCTAGCAGGTCAAGGGAAGTCATTCTCCCCCTCTACCCTGCACTGGTGAGGCCACAACTGGAATACTGCATCCAGTTCTGAGGTCCCCAGTTCAAGAGGGACAAGGAGCTACTGGAAAGAGTCCAGCGAAGGGCAACGAAGATGATTCAACGACTGGAGCATCTCCCTTATGAGGAGAGGCTGAGAGAGCTGGGACTCTTTAGTCTGGAGAAGAGAAGGCTGAGGGGAGACCTTATCAATGTCTATAAGTACCTAAAGGGTGGTTTGAAGGAGGATGGAGCCAGACTCTTTTCAGTGGTTGCCAGTGAGAGGACGAGGAGTAACGGGCATAAGCTGGAACATAGGAGGTTCCACTCAAATATGAGAACAAACTACTTCACAGTGAGGGTGACAGAGCCCTGGAACAGGCTACCCAGTGAAGTTGTGGAGTCCCCTTCTTTGGAGATTTTCAAGACCCACCTGGATGCAGTCCTGAGTAACATGCTCTAACATGCTCTAGACAATGCTGCTTCAGCAAGGGAGTTGGACTAGATGATCTCTATGGTCCCTTCCAACTCTAAAAATTCAGTGAAATTCAGTGAAATATTTGAAATTTTAACTTTTCAGTAGCCAGAGAATTGGCAAACAATTAATGTAGTTCTTTAGTTAGTAGGGAATTAAATTCCAAAACATAACCACACAACATATTGGATATGTAATTCCAAGCATGAGAAATGAGAAATGGAATAAAGCCATATGAATTGCAAGTAAAAAGTAAAATGCATCTCTAATATCCATAGGAAGGAGTTTTATCTAGACAGCAATGTGCTGACAAGCAGATTCTTAAAGCAAGTGTCATGAAAACTTTCTTTGATTATTTCAGCTACAATTCTGGAATGCAAAGGGTCAAAGGATCCAAGAGATTTCATAATTTTTCATACATCAGCGAGAAAACCTTAGGGCTGACGCAAGCTGATGAACCATGATTTAATGTAATATGGTCACTCCATTTTGCACTGATTACAGTCCAAGCAGCTGCATCCTGCCCTATCAGTTATACTTCTCAGAATGCTGCACTATTTCTAGTGACAAGAGACATACTATCAAATGGCTGAAAATATATGCATTAGGATAGGCAAAAAGCAAGGACAAACTAGAAATATTAAAAAGAAATAAAAGGAAGAAACCCCCTTGTCTAGCCGCTTACATTTACTACCAGAGAAAATGTTTTCAAAGACTTATAGAAGCTGGATCTTCATTGAATACAACATTGTAGCTGTAAGAGCAGTTTTTAAAATTTACTATGCTTTATTTTTTTTATATATAAGACCTATAATATCAATAATGAATAGTACAGCATACTTTCAGAAGTGTATAGATGTGGTTTAACTCTGCTGCCAGTAGTCCAATGCTGAACTATTATATTTTTTAAACCTTCTAAATACATTTAAACAAAGTATTCACTGTTCATGCAGCAAAATTCTGCTGTCCATCTTGTCAGAAGATGTTATTTTACTACTTTGTAAAAGCTGGCATTTTGTGATATTTTGTCCAATACATTATCTCTTCAAAGGAATTGGAAAGCAAAACAGGGATTAATTCTCAGCAACAAAAACGTAAAGAAGTGGAGTGGAACCCTGAGGAGCAGGTAAGTTAGAATGCTTCTAAGTGATTTAAGCTGGGTCTTATGATTGTCTCCATGCAAATCTCCCCAACTGGTATCTTTTTGACTTAGATTGATAACAATACACATAACCCTTGAGTTATGGGTTCCACGCAGAGCAGATAAGGTGATACCTTCTATTGAAATAAAAAGTAGACTGTAAGAACAGCAAATAATAGGGACTCTTTGGACCCAAGAGTCTCTTTCTCTTAGGGAAACACAGAACAATAAACAGAGACTTAGGATATATAATATGGATATATATTATACATATATAATATGGATACATAGGATATATAATACTCAATGGCTCGAAGTCCAGATGGAGAGCAGTGACAAGCGGTGTCCCTCAAGGGTCTGTGCTGGGACTGATACTGTTTAACATTTTTATCAATGGTATAGACAGGGGGATTAAAGGCACCATCAGCAAGTTTGCAGACAACACCAAGCTGTGTGGTGTTGTCAATACACCAGAGCGATGGGATGTCATCCAGAAGGACCTGGACAGGCTGGAGAGGTGGGCCCAGGTGAACCTCAGGAGGTTCAACAAGAACAAGTGCAAGGTTCTGCACCTGGGCCGGAACAATCCTCACCATCAGTACAGGGGTGAGGTATTAGAAAGCAGCCCTGAGGAAAGGGACTTGTGGGTGCTGGTGGACGAGAAGCTGGACGTGAGCAAGCAGTGTGCACTTGCAGCCCAGAAGGCCAATCACATCCTGGGCTGCATCAATAGAAGTTTTGCCAGCAGGTCCAGAGAGGTGATTCTTCTGCTTTACTCTGCTCTGGTGAGACCTCATCTGGAGTAGTGTGTGCAGATCTGGAGCCCTCAGTATAGGAGGGATATGGACCTGATGGAGCGGGTCCAGAGGAGGGCCACTAAAATGATCAGGGGGTTGGAGCACCTCTGCTATGAGGACAGGCTGAGGGAGCTGGGGTTGTTCAGCCTGGAGAAGAGGAGGCTTCGGGGAGACTTAATAGCAGCCTTCCAGTACCTGAAGGGGGCCTACAGAAAGGCTGAGGAGAGCCTGTTTACAAAGGCCTGTAGTGATAGGATGAGGGTCAATGGCTTTAAACTGGAGGGGAGCAGATTTAGATTGGAGATGAGGAGAAAGTTCTTTACTGTGAGGGTGGTGGAGGACTGGAACAGGTTGTCCAGGGAGGTGGTTGAGGCCCCATCCCTGGAGATATTCAAGGTGAGGCTCGATGAGGCCCTGTGCAACCTGGTCTAGTTGGGGGTGTCCCTGCTCACTGTGGGGTGGTTGGACTAGATCACCTTTGGAGGTCCCTTCCAGCCTAGACAATTCTATGATTCTATGATTCTATGATTCTATGATTCTATGATAATAAATGAAGGAGTGATTTTGTTTTCCTGATTTAAAAAAAAAAAAATCTTCTGTTGTGTTCACTTATATTATTCCTTCAAACACAAATTTAAAATCAGTAGATTTTCTAGCCTGTTCTTACTTTTTACAAGATGGTAATGGTGCTGGATAAAGACAATCATTTAAGAAAAAAAATCAGCAAATTACCAGGTCCCTTGAGAAAACTCAACAATATTTCTTTTCTTTGCCTTTAGAACAGAATGCTCTGGTCAATTCTCAGATAAATCTTGGCTAGATTTTAAATCTGTTGCTGTTCTGAAAACATCTCTTGAAAACTGTCAAGTGCATGTATTTCAAATTCAAATAAGAAAAATAATTTTCTCTATCACTTGACTGTTCTCTGCTTGCAGAAGTTGTCAATAAAGAAGGTATACCATAAATCACTTTTTATTTTGTATTATATCCTCCGATATTTTGTGGTTAAGTCCAGGCTGTACAATCAGAGGGAATGAACATTGTTTTCAAAGGCATTCATTAAATTTGACAACTTCTTTTCTATTATTATGTATCAACTGCTCACTGGTCAAGTCAACTTGTTTCCATATGGTACCATTTGCAGTGGTTTTGAGTTTTATTGAAGAAAAGCCTTTCCCTCCAATATGAATTATGAAGTTCAACTAATGTACATTAGAGAAATAAGATCAAATTAGCTATTTTAATTTATACCGGCTGGGCCACATAAGGTTCACTTCCTTTTCAATTGTGTCAGTCTAACATGGCTGTCACTCTACACAGGTGAGGTATTATGACAGCTTTAAACTCATCAGGTACAGTATCATGTAGAGGATTTACGTCATTTGTTCTACTTCTTCATTTACTACTTTAATAACTTTGGTATGCTTAGTTTATTATTTTAACATAGATAATCTTCTGTTAAGAATCAGGAAACATTTATTATAAAATGCTATCTTCTGAAGACAGGACAATTTTATGGTCTTGACTGTGTGTGAATACAGATACACAATTTTTGTCCAGTAGACTGTATCATAATAATACATTGTACATGTCTTCTTTAAGCTAGTATAGGAACTAGTACTTTCTCATTTCTCAAGAAATGTATATATAGATTCTTTTGTCCATTCTTTCCTACAGCTTCAGTGCAAGATAATGTCCTGTTACTGTCTTCCTTTCCATTGTAAATTAACACTGCATAAAATTATTTGTTTACATACTAATAATAGATTATCACACAGAAGTAACATGATCAAAACTGAGAATGAGAAGACTCAAGTTTCATTTGATAATTTTTTAAAAAGGTAAAAATTTACAAAAAATAATTTATACTAATAAATCTTCTGACATGCTTGCTATTGGAAGACAATGTTGTTCTGCACTGTCACAGCATGGCATATACTTTAAATAAGTCAAAAGACTTAAATACTGAGACCAGGGCAAACCATCTTATAGCATCTATCCATTGATAACATCAGGATCAGATCCAGCTTCAATATGGTCAGCATAACTGCTCAACTATAAGGTTACTGCCATGTCATATTTCTACATGCTGCCTAAGGACATGTTGACGGGTTGGCTACAGCCCCAGAATCTTACCTTTACCTCAGCAAAACTGTCCTGAAGTGTCACTGAGAGTTGTACATCAATATGTCCTGCTCTCCCTAATGACCAGTCTTCTGGCTAGATCTTTACAGCGATTTTATTAAGCAATCATTGTGTGTTTTGTAAGCAGTTTTGAACTTCCCCTGGGTGAAATTGTTTTTTTTTCCTTTGTTAATTCCATAGAAATTTTTTATATTATTGCAATCCTTGAGCAGGTGCTGTGGATGAAGTTAGCAAATAAAGTTATTGAGTCATTAGTCAGCTAAATGCAGCATAACAATACAAGTAAATGTAGAAATATACTGTGTAACTAACCAAGCATAAAATAATTTGGTTTGCATCTAGGAAACTATCCACCTGACAAAGTATTCTGGCTGTACCTGCAGTGGACTGTTGATGACTTATTCACATTGTGAACAGGTTTCCCTGAGCCCACTAGGAAAAGCTGTAATGCTCATTGCTATTCCATCCCAGAATAGATAATGGCTGAAAAATAGTCAATAGTTATTAAAGTGCTACGCTTCAGGCTACTACAATGAAAACCGTGTGAAAACAAATGAACACATAGCTATTCATTCAAAAGCTTAAACAAAATAGTTGAATACTCCTATACTCTTACATGTCATTCTGCTCTCTCCCCCCTAATTCTGACATCTTGGAGACATAAACACTGTAGAAGAGGAGTTGATAAAGAAAAGCTGGATGAGATACGAAATACATCCCGACACATTTCAGAAAAAAAAAGAAAAAACTAAAAAGTGAGATGACAAAGAGAAATTAGTATTCTAAATCATGAGTTAAGACCAAGTTTTTGTGCCAAGAAAAATGGGTTTAAACTAGCAACCTGATCGAGATTTTGATAGATATTTCAGAAATAAAAATATACTAAAATATACTAAATGAGTATGCCTGTACCATAAACTCTGCCTTTGCTTTACCTTTTTTTTTTTTTCTTCCTCTATCTGTCAGAGGGGAAAAAAGTTAATTCTTTGGTCATGAAAATATCCAAATTGGTAGAGTCAAAATTTAGAACCAGAAACATGTAACCACATTTTGCGCAAAACCATGCTTAAGATGTGTATGTGATCCCACTGCTACCATGTCTTCAAGCCAGTAGCCAGTCTTCATTTCTTTTTATTCATCAGCAGCTGAGCTGGGATAAACAACAAAAGATTTCAAACTGTAGAAGTTGTGGAAACTGCTTTACAATGCTGACATCCAACATGTTCCCCCAACCCACAAATCATTGTTGAAACTTCTTGAAAAAGCAAATGAGCCTAGACTTGACTTCATTTGACTGCTGGATACTTTATGCATATAGCTATCAAACGATAACTGTTTCCACCATACAAAAAGTAAAACTACTTTTATTAAACAGGGCCAATGAAGTTATAGCAATGAGATGACATGACTTAACAATAAAATTAGCTGAACATTTTTAGAGAAAAAAAAATAGTCTTTAGCAGAAATTGTTGATTCATCAAAACCAAAATCTTAAACAACTGGATAACACTGAGTAAAAACCTCTCTGCTTTCCTCACGGGTAGTCTTCTCAACTTTCAGGTGAAAATGATTCTCTAGTGCTGTAAGGCAATTTCACAATGTGGACTTTAGGCAGATGCTTAAATCTTTTGCTATTGTGAAAAACACAGAATGAGTCATTTCCATGTAGCAGAGGGTAAAAATCTTTATAAAATTCCCCCTACACTCCAACATAGTTTGGGATAAAAATAGTAAAAGAGAAAAAAGTCATACAGATTTCATTTTGACATTTCCAAAACGGATTACTTCAAATCAATAGTGTTAAAAATCTCAACATTTTCAACTTTTCAGTCTCATGCTTTTTAACTTTTTGTTTCAAAATATCATTACTTTATTTTAAAATTGCTCCAGATAAAGAGGAAAATAGGTAAAGGTCTAAAAAAACACAAACTAAAATGTTTTGTCGCAGATCAAACAAAATGTTTCCATTTGACAAATGTGACTTTAGTGATCTTTACTGCCTCTGTGAAAACTTGAAAAAATTCTCTTTTTCAACCCAAGTCA